TATTTCATTGTTCCATAAAATTTCATTTTTGTTTTTTACTCTTAACACTATTTCATACTGTAGCAATACTGTTTGATAACCAGGCATTTCCTTTTGCCTTATGTCAGGTGGTTTCTATTACATTACACAAAAATTGTTACTAATTAACCAACCATTTCATTCATATATCAAGTAGTACATTCCTATAACCTCTTACACCATGCCATCAACTTCAGCATGATACAAAAAAAGCTTTTTAATACCTTTCAAATACAGAGTTTAGAAAGTATTAATTCTCTCAACATGGTCTTGGTCAAATAGACCGATCACATGACCTCTTTGTATTCATTCAAAGTCCTTATAGATTTGATATTACTAACTTCTAATATATTGTGTATATCTTAATGAAATTTGGCAGTCTTTCAGTAAACATTATAAGTCTTTCACACACAAAAATTCATATGTTTTAGTGAAGTACTTTTAATAAACTAAAAATCGATATGTCCTTCAATATATCGAGTATTTGTTTTGAATAATTTGTGTGCAAACGGATTTTCATGTTAATATTAAAAATATTCTTCTTCAAATCAAAAATCTCAAATTTCATTTGTGTAATCTCTAAAACCTCCTAAATACATTTCAGATGTTTGTTTTCAGTAAAACTTTATATTTTATTTGTAACTGTACTAACTAACTCTATACAAGGTTGGTCAATCTCACTGATCTTGTAACTACAAAATAAATAAATAAAATAAAAGATCGAAGTCAATCAGAATTTCCCTCTTTTGTTTCTAGAATGTCTCAAATGTAATATGAAACTACATTTGTTTATTCTAAGTAGCTTTAAACTTGTAACAGTATACATTTATTTATAATTAAATTTTGTTGTTTTATTGCCCTTTGAACCATGAACTATTACTCATGCCATTATAAGTTGTAAATTAGTTGGGGAACTTGCAGCTCACATTACACTATCGAATTACATTACCCACAAGCTACTCCAAGCTGTTCACATGCGTGTCTCATGAAATATTTTTATTATATTATTATTGTTTATTTTAACTAATCTAACCTTAACTAACCTAAAGAGATCCCTATTTTTACATTTTAATTATTTTTATAATAATAAATAAAGAATAAACATGAAAAACAAAAAATAAAGTACTTACCCAATTATCTTTTTTCTTGCTGTCGATGACACTTAACCCTACTTTTTTATGCTAATGGTAGAAGGCACTAAATAATTTTTATTTAATAAATAGTGCACCAAAGAACATAGACTAATAACATGCAAAAAGTAGACAATTTCCCCTAATTCTAAAGATTTTTCTGGCTTTCTAACTATGTGACATGAGCCATTACAAATTCATCCAGGCTAGTCATTAGCTTTCCCCAGGGAACACAGCTTGTACTTTGAATGAAATTGATGATGTTATGCAATACCTAATTTGATAGATGAAAACCCTTGGCTTTCTATTGGTTATAGGTAATATATACAATTAAATGTAACAGAGAACTATCAACAAATCCCAAAAGTGAGGATGTGATAGGAGGGTGTGGCAGGAGGGGGTCTGATTTTCTAATTGCTAGCTCTGTAACCAAAAAAAATTGAAGGCTATAAAAATTATGGTTTGTTTGAGCAATGACAATTTTATAGTGAGTAATTTATGTTGAATTTTATAGTTTTTGATAAAATAGAAAAGAGAAGATAACTAGAGAAAATGTGTCACACTAGGGGAAATTCAGGATTTTTTCAAGAATTAAGAACTTAAACTTATGTGCTATTAAAATATGGATTATTAGCTAAGATTTTATGCTATACTAATTGGTATAACATAAACAAAAAGCAGTTCAATAAAATTTGGAATGTAAGACACAAAAACAAGTGTCATGCCCAGTAAAGGATACCCACAATGATAGGGTTTAACAAGAAAAATCACAAAATCCATCTACCTAATCTGTGCTATCTTACATAACTGAACAAGGTAAGCCATGCAAATTTATCCTTACTCTGTGTTGCAGTATGCACCATAAAGCAAAACAAATTACAAGAAAAACTTTTCTATTCTGTGCTGTTTTATATAGATACAGAATAAAACATGTAATAAAATCACTACTCCATGATGCAGTATCTACCTAGAAAAAGTAATGCCATAAAAATAAATCTCTACTGAATGCTTGAGTAAGACCCAGAAAAAATGCAAATTAAGTGTCTGTATTTAGAATATAACTAAAATAATAAATTATTAAATTTTAATAAGCAACAGGGTTAGAAACATTTAAAATCTAGTGAATACTAAAAATATAAATTAACAATGACTTTAAACACATGTAATGTTAGAATTACACTTCACATTACAAACTTGCGTAGCTATGTTGACAAAAAACTGGAAACCAATATAGGAAGAAATGAGATACAACTGAGGGTGGATAGTAGTTTCTTTAGCTGAACATTCACATAATCTGATTTACTGTAGTTAGTTTTATAGTATATTGGACATGATGATATAATAAACAATACAAGTTTGAAAGCTACTATACATAATGTAAATACAAAGGATCTCAGTAAAAGGATGTGAACCAACAGCTTTGTGATACAAAGGCATCTATCTAGCTAGAGCTGTAACACCAGAGCACATGTTTAACAAATTTCATAATGGGTAACCAAGCGACATTGGAAGTTTGAAATGAGAACCAAAGTTAGTAATGTGATTGGTCCATAAACATGACTGATGACATCATCTGGATTTAAGAAACTTCTGAACAAAATATTTAACCATGTTAGATGATGATCCTTACAAATTCATTAAGTACAAAATCCAGTATATAAAACCTACAAATGAGCTAATTAAAAAGACAGTCAACAGTCACTTAGTGAATTATTCACCAGTCATTAACCAGCAACAGTCAACAGTTAGTGAACAGCAGTACCTCACAACTAGCAGCTCATAGCAGAATGGAACAAGACTCAATTTTTCTGTAAGTCTTTGTACTTAATCACTGAAATAAACTACAACTATCGTATTTCATAGGAGTGCATATTTCCTTTGGTATTTTAATAAATATTATTTTAATTGATTGTCGTAATCAGCAGTCCATTATTACACAACTCATAAAAGCTTTTACCTATTCCATGCTGTATTACACACCTGAAACAAGAAAATTCACGTAAACCCCTTCCCTAACATATACTGTGATATTTTCTGGAAAAAAAAACAAGTACTGAAAATGATTCCTTATTCTGTGTTATGATATGATTTGGGGAAAAAAGCTAATCTTAAACTCGTTACTATTATATGTTGTATTAAACATCTGAAACAAATCATGTTATGAAAATCATTACCCTACTCTATGCTGTAATATGTTAATGAAAAGGCAAGTCTTAAAATTTTTTTTCTACACAGTGCTCTATTACATGTCTTGTACAAGACAAGACATGAAAAACTTACTTCCTACACCATGCATATAACTTAAAAAAAAAAAATTAAAGTTGAAAGAAATTTGAAAAATTTGTTGCTTTTACACTTCCATTTTAGGCATAATATGGAAGGTAGTAAAATATTTTTTCATTGAGAAGGTTACTTTGGAACATTTGGTAAAAATGATACCAAGTGCAGTTCACATTAAAATAAAAAACTAATTTATTTCTTCTATAATGTGTGCTACAGACTACTTTCATTTTAACAATAGTTGTAGGCCTGAGTTCACAAACATTGTTTGAACAGAAATTCATCTCTAATTGTTCCTTTGTCTAACTTACGTAGCTTTGGTTGATAAACATGTTACTCATCAAGTAACTAAATAGCAGAATAGAACTGAAACACTGATTGAATACTTCAGTGAACTCTCATTCATTAATCTACTCATCACTAAGTGATTACTGGTATTTATAAACAATGTATTATTTCTCTAAACATTGCCTGAGACTACTAAATTCTTGATGCCATCAAAATTACAAGCTTCCTCCAGCAAACATCTAAATTAAAACGTCAAAAATATAGCTTTAGACAATAACACATATAGTGGCCTTTATTTGCTATTGGCATTAAAGTTAACTTATTCATTCAGCATTTACGCAGATGAAACATTTGTAAATCATGTAAATGCTTATTTCTGTTACATCAAGTAGATTAAAAATACAATATTTAGACATTTTTTGTATAAAAAACAAGTAATTTCACAAAATCCACAACAACTATATATCCTTTTAACTGGCAAAAATAAGAGGGTGGTGTACACAGCTGCATTCTCTACAGGAGAAACAACATAGCAGCTGTCATTTGTTTTAGCTAAATTGCCAAATGAAATACAGAAAAACAAACTGTGCAGTTTAATATATGTAATTAATTTACCTTCTAATAAAACAAACATGGAGAATGTTGAAGAAATAATACCGATCAAAAAAGTACACTCCCTTATTTTTGGTTAAACAATTAACTGAATATGCTACAGTGTATAATACAAGAATAACCTTTTAAATATGCGCTATAGCTAAATAAACAGTAAAATATTACAAAAAATATCTAACTTTAATTATAGAAAACACCTCTTCCATCTATATTAGCTCTAGGATAATACACTAATGAACCAAGCTAAAGATAAACTAGGATATCAGAATTAAAAAAAAAATTAAGCAAAAAACCTGCAAAACATAAAACAATATAGAAGATAAAAGGTTTAAGAATGATTAAATAACAGTCATTTAAAGAACTATACATTTTTTTTATTCTACAACCTATTCTTCAGATACACAACTTTTATGATGTGTAAAAATTCTTTGTAAAGACAACCTTTTTTCTGAATATTAAAAGAAAGTGGCCAAAGTAACTAAGCTTTCTTTATTAGTCATAACAAAAACCTTGCTTCATACATACAAAATCATTTTATGTAAATTTTCATTAAACTAATGAAAACTTAATCCATTCTATTATGTATAGATTTAAATATATAACAAAAACTCATCTTCAATATATGGTGCATGGCATTTATAACAAATCTGGATTTAAAGAAATAATAAATACCATTTCTATAGCGTAGTCATAAAGAAGACGATCGGCAGTAATGTTATAGGAGGTGGTCTGAAGGATGCCAGAGCTATTCAGAGCTTTACACATGTTTAGGCAATAATGGAAATGTTTTTTCACTGAATGAAGAACTGAAAGAAGAAATATTTTAGAGGGTGTAATGTTTAAACAGAAATGGAAATATTTCTTTGCAAAATGTAAAATAGGAGCATCATGGTTAGAAAACTTTCAAAGGATAAGAAAAAAAAAAGTGATGATTCAACAAAAATAAGAATGAATAAAACAAAGTGAGGTTTAACACAAGAAAAAGCAAGAAAAACAAAATTGAATAAAAAAATTAACAACCATTAATAATATAAAAATAATGATTAAAAAGGGGAAAGAAACATTTTGGAAAGATTCCTTATTGCATAAAATAAACAAAAAATGATATTTTTAAAAGTTGCTATCTTAAAATCATTTAATCAACATTATAAATGATCAGTTCTCATTATTCCTAAAATTTTACAAGCTTTTGCTGATAATCATTATTTGGAGACATATATATGGGCAGCAGTTTTATTACCTGCATATTTTCACCTGTGATACCCTATATCTACATACAATAGTCAAAGTTTATTTCCTAACTCATCTTTTTTACTGCCATTACATAATTATATGTCCATAAGATAAATTAAACAGTGAACATGACTTATAATGAACAACAAACATAAAATAAAAGAATTTGACAACAGATGAATAAATCAGAGAAATTAAATCAAAGAAACATAAAAGTAATAAACACCAGTTACTTGCAAGTCTGGTAAAAACTGTATTTATTAATGCTCCAGAATACAACGACAAATTATGGTTTGCATACTAACAGGAAAATAAAGCACAAAGAAATGATATATATTTTTTAGTCAAAACATCTTTTTGGACACTTTAGATTCCACCATTGTGTTTATAGGATACTACCTGTTATTTATCATTATGTGATGTATCTAAATTATATAACAAAACTGAAACAGTAACATACTAAAATCACTACAGCTGCAAATCAAATTTGCGACATGAGCTTATCCTCCTTTTCTAGAAAGAACTATCAATAACAATGAAAACATGGTACATTTGCAAAAATAAGAAATGGTAAAGAAAGGGACACATTGTGTGAATGTCTGTTCATCCTTTATAGTTCACCTCCATTGTATAGGACACATGATTACACCTGGAACCCTTTGTTTGAGCAAAACTTGGTAACATTTTTTCAAAGAAAACATAAGAGCTATAGGCTTTTCTTTTTTCTCAAGAAAGCTTAGAAATGCATGTGATCTCCATAAACATGGAAATATATTAGTGAAATCAGTTATTAAAACAATCCACTAAGGTGAATAAGAAATTTTGTGAAGAACACGAGTTATATGGCACATTTTACAATATATAAGAGGCCCTGAGGCTCTTTATTTCTCGAAACTTTTAAGAAAATATTTGTGTGCAATATTTTTCAGTAAATTACACCATTGGATATAAAACAGTGAGGAGACATATTGTAGCTCTAGTAGTAGTATTGAGGATATGGGATATTTTCCAAAAATGTTAAAAATATAAAAGTGATATGGCAATACTGGAGATTTAAACATTAGACACTTTTTGGATATATGGAATATTTACTTTAAAATAGAAATACACATTCTCAGGTACCCATGATCAAATACTGCATCAATAATATATGCTTGTTGTATTCTCAGATTTTTCTTAAAGTAATCAGGCAGGAGACACAGAATAACTGGAGGTTTATAAAAAAATTTAAGAAGCAAAACCTGGATTATCTTAACACTCTCACTATGGGCATCTTTTTCTGTGTATGTCATGAGGCTTTAGTGAGTTACATTCAAAATCTAATTAAACTACCATATTTTTCGGTGTATAAGACATACTTTTTACCCCAAAATTTGATGTCAAAATCTGCTTGCGTCCTATACACCGAAGGTATGAATAATATATATG